ATATATACATATATATATATATATATTTATATATATATATATATATATAGGCGATGTATGTATATATTAATGTATAGGCTTACAGTATTACCATTAACATTAAATATTTTAATATATACAGTTAAAAGGAAATGTGTATTCCCAACCTAACGATCCACCGTTATATCATGAACTACCGAATCATTCTCCATGCTAATGTTTTGTTTATTTTCACAATTCATAGCGACACAATGCATTCGTGACGAGGTGAATAGATTAAAAGTAATAAGTATTCCTTGCTGCGGTCAACCTTAAAGATCATCGAGTATGCTTGCTATTTTATTTGAAATTAAGTGTTTGTGTTACCGTCTATTTGGAATTTTGTAAAGGCAACCTGTTGCAGTAGGGACAATATCCTCTTTGTAGGCTACGGTATCTCTTTAAACAACTCTCGCTTGCTTTCTATTAATTCATGGTGTAGACAAAATAATTTTAAACCTGTAATATTCTGTAGTACCAGTTAGTAACTTCTGAATAACACTTTATGCTTATATTGACAGACTTTATAATATTGAACTTGGAAGGATTGTTTGAGATGTCAAGTAAATATTAAGAAACCAAGTAAAAGTTCCGATTATTGAACAGCTTCACGGAAATAGCATTTAAATAAAGTATAAGATACAAAGATACAATAATCAGTGATCTGGCTCATGTGCAATTGTATCTTTCGGAAGAATAAGGGGTTAGCCTGATGCTATGGTTATTTTCAGTCCCTGTCACTCAGGAATGATGTGATAAACGCCTCTCTACGGCTGCACACGGACCACGGATACAGCACAACGCTGCAAGACATGGTGTTGGATTATTCCACTACCTTTACCTGTAGGCCTATTACACCCATGTGACAATGGAGACTTTATACCTTGTACTGGTGAATTAATTTTAAAATAATTATGTTATCTCTCCTGTGCAGCGAGTTACTGTACTTGCTTGTGTGACATTATGTAGGCATATGCTTATTGTATTGCTTAAGAAAAAAAAATTATGATAGGATAATAAAAGTTATCTTATCTCCTAATTGGTAGGCCTAATCACTTTTTTATAGGTAGAAGGTTACATTTAAGAAAATAGCAAAAAAGCCATTTATCAGTGTACATAGCATCATGAACTTTAGGTACATGCTTCCTGTAATCAGTGACGTATCCAGAAGCCTTGAAATGGGGGTGCTGTTTGGGGGGGGGGTAGAGAAGGTGAATTGGGGGAGCTCGATGATCAGTTGAGGGGCGCTAACTCTAAAAATAAGGTGATTTTAAGTGATTTTGAACTACTTGCAAGTGACTTTTTTTTTTAGCGACTGGGGGCGCGAGTATTTTTCGGAGGGGCGTGCGCTCCCCGCGCACCCCTAGATACGCCACTGCCCATAATCGCATCAAGTATTAGTCTATTCCGACAAGGC